GGAGCCATGCACTGCGAGTGAATCCCGTGGCACATTGTCAGGACACCGTTGCTGTGAATCGATTACTTTTGGGAATTGCTGGGGACGCCCCAGATGACGTTGTGCCAAAGCATCACGCCTACGTGCCTGACTCTTGTTTTGCAGCTTGCACTGCACACCCTGCGCAGGGCCCTGTCCGAAGGTTTGCGACTACGGGAAGGAGAAGACGATAGATTCGGTGACATCGGCACAGGAGCTCCGTGGCTGCACAGTTGTTAATGGAAGCTTGGTTATAAATATCCGTGGAGGAAGTAAGTTCTGCATGAGTAAGGGGGTAGGGAGCGCTGGGTGTCAGGTCAGTGAATATGACACCCTCCACGAGCCGGGGCATTTCTCTTTTGCTTTGACCACTCTGAATCTTAGAGTGATTCAGAAAAACAACCGCAGAGCAGAGGCTCTTGTGATGTTCATTTGGGGCTTTTTTGATAACTGATTTTGTGAGGTGTTATGAATTTAGGTAAAGTGGTTCTACATAATGTGTTTGGGTTCTGAGATCAGTGTTTCCCTCTGTGATATCAGAAAACTGAACCCACTGTTTTTCTCTCTGCAGATAACATAGCAGCTGAGCTAGAAGCGAATCTTGGCTTGATAGAAGAAATCTCAGGTTACCTAAAAATCCGCCGGTCTTACGCCTTGGTTTCTCTTTCTTTTTTTCGTAAACTGCATCTGATTAGAGGAGAAACACTAGAAGCTGGGTGAGTTCCTTCGAAAGAGACTTTATTTTAATGCTTTGAAGTGTAAGGAGTGCCAGTGCTATCAGGGTGATTTGTATTGGTAAACAATCCCTAAGTTATTTTTAAATATTGCCCTGCCTGTGGCTTGTGGCTACCAGGGAAGATCGTTTGCATTCATCTGTCTGGATTAGTGCATGAGAAAAGAAGAGTTTGCAGTGCATCCCCCCCCAATCCACACTTCATTCTCTGCTTTCAGGAATTATTCATTTTACGCCTTGGACAACCAGAATCTTCGCCAACTCTGGGACTGGGGTAAACACAACCTCACTATTGCACGAGGCAAACTTTTCTTCCACTACAATCCCAAACTGTGCTTGTCGGAAATCCACAAGATGGAGGAGATTTCTGGGACTAAGGGGCGTCAGGAAAGGAACGACATAGCCCTGAAGACGAACGGTGATCAAGCTTCATGTAAGAAAGCCTCAGAATGCAGCGAGACTTGCATCGTTTTCCCTTCCCTCTGCCTTGCCGACCTCACACTTATTTCTCCCAGCCTGGCCTGTGATGTTTTTCCAGGGACTGTCCTTGTCCTTTTGGTAAAGCACCAGACACGTGACTTGCCGCTTGCTTGTGCGCTGCAGCGACACTGTCAATGCGCCACGAGTAAAAGCACTTACGGGTTCTGCATCTGGCCAGGAGCCTACCTAGCCAGCTTTGGTCTTCAGAAGTTTGCTCTTTGTGTGCTCAGCTGGGAGGTGTTCAGGGCTGAGGGTATTGTGTCTTTTTGGAGAGTGTAGCGCGACATAACCTCAGTCCAGACTGGGACTTTGTGTTACTGCTGAGTACCTGATTAATAGTCATCATCTTCTTTTCCCATGCCGTGAGGCGACAGTATGCACACGGAATAAACACAGTAGAGAAACAGGGTTTCCCCCTGTCTCTGGAGCTGTGTGAGGGAATTGCTATGACAACAGTCAAGATATTTTTTTCAGCAATTTGCTTCTTGGAGGTTTTTACGCTAACAGCTTTCTTCAAGAACAGCAATAAGATAGTGCCTGTGACTGTGAGGAGCACATGCTTAAGGAGCAAACACACAGTGTTGCTTTCTGCTCTAAGGAAAGTCATAGAAACATAGAATGGTTTGGGTTGGAAGGGACCTTAAAGATCATCTAGTTCCAACCCCCCTGCCATTGGCAGTGACACCTTCCATAGCCCAGGTTGCTCAAAGGCTCATCCAGCCTGGCCTTGAAGGCATCCAGGGATGGGGCATCCACAGCTTCTCTGGGCAACCTGTCCCAGTGCCTCACCACCCTCTCTGGGAAGAACTTCTTCCTGATATCTAATCTAAACCTCCCCACTTTCAATTTAAACCCGTTACCACTTGTCCTGTTGCTACAGGTTGCTGAAGGTGTAGTTCTGCAGGCACTTGTTGTGGCAACAGTTCTTGGGCACCCCAACCCTGCAGTTTGTTCCCATTCTATGCCACGCACGATCCCCTTACCCTGTTTGTGCCAGTAAAACTCTTACAGGGCCGCATGGCGAACCAGACCGTTGAATTAATATGGGGTAAAAAATAGCGAGCCGTTTCTGCTTTGTTGTTCTTGGGTTGTGTCATCTCTCTGCTCTGATTTATTGTCTAGCCCCACCAAGTTCTACGTGCACACAGGGACAGGAGCACGTGCAGGTTGACACGTTAGACGCTTGTAGCAGGTATTGCCGCCAAAACCCCCAGCGTTACTTCAGCTGTGATTTCAGGTTCATTTCAAGAGCGTTTCAGTTCCTTGCTCTTTCCACAGCTTGCAGTGCAGCTTCCATCATCCTGGGGCTGCAGTGTTGCTCTGTATTTGGTGACAGCATCGCTTCAGCAACCCCTTCCCCTCGTTATGCTGGTGTAGCTGTTTGTAAAAGACTTAACGAAGTGGAGATCTTTCAGCTAAATCTGTTTCCTAAGCTGGTTTGCCACGTAACAACACGTGGCAACATGTGGAGAAGGGAATGTAATGACTGCCTGCCTAAAAACTGGCAGTACCAGTGAAAAAACCTACAGGGAGCCGTACCCTCAAGGCTATCACAGCTCCAGCCCGGGCAGAGGGAAGGAGGCACAAGGAATTAGCTGCCTGTAAAGGTTATCTCTGCCCTTGAGACATCAACTAGCTCTTCCCACATTTGGGTATGAGACAGGATTTGGGGATGAGACTGGATTTGGGGTGCAAACTCAGCTCTGTCATGTGGTTTTGTGCAGCCCCCGGGCTGGCTGGCTGTTTTGTTTGAAGGCAGCTGGAGGAGATGGTTGTATTTCTCTTTGCCAGCTTTAACTTCACTCTGCTGAGTGGTTCCCTGTGCCATCCTCCCAGCTCAAACCACAGGTTGCCAGCCTGTTTGGCTTTTTGTTTGTTTTCACATTTCAGAGCAGTTTTCACATTGGCAGCGTCCTGTTTACAAAAAAAAATAAAAAAGGAGGAAAAACAAAGCCCTTGTTTGTTCTGGATGTGATGCCAGTGAAATGAATGTTCTTCCTCCCTTGTGTAGCTGCTGCAGGAATGGCAAATCCAGTCAGAGCTACACAGTTTGTCCTTCTCGGACTGCTTGGACATACCATACCATAATGTGTCCCCTGAGCCTCAAAACCCCACCCTCCCACAACTGTCCGTTGTCCTTCCCTCCTGTTTGCACAGGGACCATGCTACTCCTGGGCAAGGCTGGAATTCAGGCAGTTAGTTTTTGTAGCTTCTGCCTTCTGTGCAAACTATGCTACTGGATTCAGCTGTGTAGATCATCATGAATTTTAAAATACATTGCCTTTAGGTTTTTCACTTACTAGAATTTAGTTCAGCTCTTCTACAGGGTCATTTTCATAAAGTCATAGAAAGATGTAAGCTGGCAGGAACCTTAGGAGGTCACCTGTTCCAACCCCTGGCTTCAGGCAGAAATAGCAACCAAGCAAGGTAAGGTTTTAATGAGTAGCTCTTCTCAATGCCAAGATTCTCATGTTTATCCGTGGAGAAAATAAACTTTCAAAATAATTAAAAATAGAAACCTTTATTTTTCAGCCTTAACAAAATTACTGTTGGTTCTGTTGTGTTACAGGTGAAAATGAATTGCTGAAATTTTCTTCCATTAGAACTTCTCATGACAAGATCCTGTTGAAGTGGGAGCCGTACTGGCCTCCCGATTTCCGTGATCTCCTGGGATTTATGCTTTTTTACAAAGAAGCGTAAGTGATCCACCGTTAGGTTACAAAATAATAGCCATGCTGGGCTTCCACAACTGGCAGTTGGCATTGAAAAGTAGATATTAAACCTGCTGTGGGCATAGCTATTTAGTCTCTGTGGCTGTCGGGCTCCTACACTTAAGATCCCAATGTTACCCTTATAGAAAAGTGTTCATTAAGATCCCTGACTTACTGAGCTGTGTCCAGTCAAAATTCCTCCTTAAAGAACTACATTAGTTGTTCCAGCTGTTCTAGACACACATACTCTAACCATGGAGTTTATCATCTCCCCACTATCGCCATGGGGTGTTGAGGTTTTTAATCCTTTTGAGGTGGGAAAGATTCTTTTAGAATCAAGGTTACTGAGCTGGCTTTCATAAAGCTGAAAATAATTAGCCTGGGTTTAGTTGTTGGGGTCATCTGTGGAACAGGACCCGATCTGCGATGCTGTTGGGAGACTGGGCTGCGGAGCTCCCTGTGCATCATGTTCCGAATACGTGCAGTGAGATAGTTGTGCTTTCTCCAAAGGGTAAAGGATTCTAACCTTCAATGATCTCTTTAGGAATGTCATTTTTAAAAGCTTGAATTAGGATTCTGTTAATTTGAGGCTTTTCTCTTTTTTTAAAGTCCATACCAGAATGTGACGGAGTTTGATGGCCAAGATGCCTGTGGGTCAAATAGCTGGACAGTCGTAGACGTTGACCCACCTCCACGCTCAAACGAGCCCAAAGCCCAGGCCCAGCCAGGCTGGCTCCTGAGGGGCTTGAAGCCGTGGACGCAGTACGCTGTGTTTGTGAAAACTCTGGTCACCTTCTCAGATGAGCGAAGGACATACGGAGCAAAGAGTGAAATCATCTACGTCCAGACCAACGCTACTGGTCAGTGTCATTAATTCGTGTGGCCTTGCAGGTGCAAAACAGACCTCACCAGCCTTCTGCCTGGTAGTCGTGGTCATCCCATGGCTGTGCAACCTGCACGGCCGTTGCTGCTCTACTTGGTAGCTGAGTATTCCTAAACGAATGGAAGGACGTGCGCTTCCCTGCGTGGGGAGGTCGTGCCCACGTGCACTTCATCCCTCAGGCTCATGTGGCCGCGTGTAAGAGCTTGTGTTGACGCTGGTGTCAGTGTACCTACCACGGACATGGACATTCCCATGGACATGGCAACTCGCCTGTGTTTCTCCTTTGTCCTGTCCTTTGTCCTTTGCTCTCGCAGAGCAGGGGAAGTGACCTGTCTCTTTTTCCCACCCATGCAGTTCCGTCAGTCCCATTAGATCCCATATCTGTTTCCAACTCTTCGTCCCAAATCATTCTGAAGTGGAAGCCACCCTCGGAGCCCAACGGAAACATCACGCACTACCTGGTGTTCTGGCAGCAGCAGGCAGAAGACAGTGAGCTGTACGAACTTGATTACTGCTTAAAAGGTGAGTGTGTGTTTCTCTCTCTGCCTTTCTTTGTAGCTTTCTCAGAACTGGATGGAGATTTTTCACAAATCTGGAGGTGCTCTGGATCCCTAATTTTGCTGTTTGCAAGGCGGTTGCTCAAGCAACAGGTTGAGCTGCAGCTGCGTTCTCCCATTGTTCAGTCACGTTATACATGAGGGGCTATGGCCCAGTTCTGTGCAAAAGCTCTCCAAAACCCCTTTTTTTTTTTTTAATAAAATAATCAGATGGGTTTTTTCCCCCTGGGGATCTCCCTTCTGCACTTGTTCCTTTAAAACTGAGGAATAACTTCCTAGCAGCTATGGACACAGTACTGGAAACAATCTCGGTGTTTCTGGAAATCACTTAATTTGTTAAGACATCCTGTGCCTGCTTTGGAATTTTTTCAGAACACAGAGTTTCACTGGGCACTGCCCTGTGCTACCGAAACTGAGATGAACTGGGGTAGAACTCTGACTGCAGCAGCATCTGAGCTCCCTTTCAAAGACAGCACAGTTTGGAATCAAAAGCCGTTGAAAAAAAGAGGGAAACGTGCTCAGCTTGTTTTTCTGAAAGCTCAGAATGCCGAAATGTGCTATGAAACACACACGTAGTATCCAACATCTGCGGCTGCCATGTCAGGCATGAGTGCTATTAAAATTGTCTTGTCCCTAGGATTAAAACTGCCCTCAAGGACGTGGTCTCCGCCTTTTGAATCCGAAGACCCTCAGAAGTACAATCAAAGTGAAAATGAGGATGTCAGTGGAGAATGTTGCTCCTGTCCCAAAACCGATTCCCAAATACAGAAGGAGCTGGAAGAGTCTGCATTCCGCAAGACATTTGAGAACTACCTTCACAATGAGGTTTTTGTCCCCAGGTACGAATATCCAACCGGGTGCTGTGGGGTAGGGAGATGTGGTTCGTACGAAACACACGTGTTGGACGTGGCCGTGTTGCCGGTCTCTCTGGGCTTGTGCGGGGCTGTCTGGTCCAGCTGAACGGGTGGTGGAGAGCTGAGTACCCACGACTGGTGTTCCTACAGATAGGGAAGATCCTGCTTTTATTTCCTGTCTCTGAGTTCTCCTCAGCTTGAGAATACAGTCAGAATCCTTAACAAATAGCTAAACGCCCGCAGCTCATTTAAATGTCTGTGATGCCAAGAATAGCTATTTTTTTCTGCCCTAAAATGTTGTGGTCTAGCTCTTCATGCAGTTGAAAAGGAAAAGAAAAAGGGAAAGTTCACCATGCCTTAGTCTTGTCCTTTAGCACGGTATTTGCGGTCTTCCTTGCACTTAGTCTGGGAAATACCTCCAATACCATGAGGAATGCAGCTGCTGTGGGCGGTGGATGTCCTGTTTTGAATGGCACACACGGTGTCACATTAGGTGGTGTTGAATGTCTTCACACTTCATATGCAACTTACAGAGGAAGCGCTGGGAATCAGGTTAGAGTCTCTAACGATTTACCCTCTTCGCTGTCACGCATTTTGTGCTCTAAATTTATTCTCTGCTTACTGCCCTCAGCCAATAAACATTTATTTGCAGCTGCTGGACAAAAGATGCATTGCTGCCCTGAACTATTTTTATTATTCTTACTTGGGTTTTATTGTTGGGTACATTACTGGACAGTGTCTCTGTGAGCCTGGCTTGATGCCTGCGGGTGTCACGTGGAAGCTTGTGCAGAGTCACTCCGTTTGCTCTTTCCTTGCTGTTGGTGCCGATCAGGACAAGTTGCAGTGTGCAAAATGATGCCAGCACACAACATATTCAGAAGCAGCAGAGAACCAAGCCATGTCGGAAGCCAAACTCCTCTCGATGTAGGCAGACAATTCTGACAATCTGATTGCTTTTTTTTTTCTTCTTCTTTTTTCTTTCTTTTCAATTTTATTGTGCAGCCAGCCCAGGATGCTTCTCAGGCCAGTTTCTGGGGTATGTATTTTAGGAAGAAACCAATCACCAGGATGTGCCACCTTGTCAGCCTGCTAAGGAAGAAACCTCCCCTTCCCTAGGCTAACTAACCCTTTTGAAACAAGCCCTTTTTGCTGTTACAAGTCAGCAGCAAAGACACCTTCCTGCCAGCACGTGTCCTGCTTGTCTTTTCTGACAGGCTCCAGGCTGTGGCAGTGTAAATTAGAATTAGGTGAATACCGTGCCTGTTGCCTGCTCACAGGGCAGCCTGTCTAGAGCCTGGCGACTGAACAAGAAGTGTGTTTTACTTCAGGTTCTTTTTGTGTGGCTTCTGATAGTTTATTGACGTCTCTCCAGGCTCTGTGTGGACTCCCCTCGAGATCAGAAGCCTTCTGCCACTCACAAGGAGGAGTCTCACAGATGAGGCCAGCAGGGAATAGGAGATGGCAGGGCTGCAGAAAGAGCAGTTGAGAAGTTACTCCCCCTACATCTTGTCTCCTTGTTTTCCACAAGGAATTTTCCTCCTCCTGTCCTGTTCCCAGCTGTCCGATCCCTGTGCAGTGTCCAGTCCGTATGAGGCTGTGCCATGGATCCGCCATGCTCTGCCTTCGTCCAGGTCTGGTCTCACCTGACTCTCAGAACCCTGCTGGAAGTCACTGTTCCTTCCCCTCGTGCACGGTTGATTTAGCTACTCAAGGAGATCCTATCACCCATCTCGTGGGTTAATTTGCTCTGGCGCTGGCAAGGCAAAGTGGAAGTTTCTAAACGCTTCTTGCCATACCCACCTTCCCAGCCGGAGCTGGCGGGTATCTTTACACCACGTAACCTCCCTTTGTAGCTGAACAAAGTGGCCATCAGAAGCTGATGCTTTGTTTCTTCTTTCCTGTGTTATTTGCTCCTCTATTGGAACGAGTTTTGCACAGCAAACGGGTGGTTGCACGCTGGAGGTTCTGGAGTCCCCATCCTTGGAGATACTCAGAACCTGACTGGACATGGTCCTGAGCAACCTGCTCTAGCTGCCCCTGTTTTGAGCAGGGAGGTGGATTAGACAATCTCCAGAGTTGCCTTCCAACCTCAACCGCTCCATGATTCTGTGGAAAGCATGGAAAGATTTCAGAAGTAACAAAAGTCCTGAGAGGCAGTGAGGACCTAAACGGCTGCTATTCCGGATGTAATTTCGGGTATACCCTCCACCATCCCCACTGCAGAAAAAGCAGTCTCGCTCTTCTCTGTCTCTATCCTCTCTCTCTCTGTTGCACACACGTGTGCCGTTACACACATCAGCGGGTCACAGAGAGAACAAGATCTGGGAAATTACTCACCTGAAACATAACGTTTTTTTTCCGGGGTTTCCCAGTTCAATCCAGTTAATCAGACAAATACATAAATGCTTTTGCCAGCGCAAGGGGGAAGGCGGGCCAGCTGTTTCCTGCTCGTTTCAGATGTGTGATAAAACATGGCTTAACCTCGCTAAGGCAGTTCTCAAGTCCCCCAGTGCAGGCCATATTACATGTGATGAGTTGTCGCTTCCATCCTTCCGGGAACCTCATGCATGTGGATAGTCTGGAACAGGAGGAAAAGGAACCTGAATCTGGGTAGTTCACAGGGAAGGTCATTGGAGCTACTGAAGCAGCTGTGAGTCATAATGAAATTTGCACTAGACCTCAGATGTTTGAAAATACAGAGAATTTGGCAAGAAAATTACTGCAAATCCAGGATAATAAATATGGGAAGATCGGGGATTTCAGCTTCAAAAGTTTCTCTTGTTTTCTGTTACTTGAGAAGGGAGAAGTTATTCTTGCACTTTACTGTGTTGCATCAGTGGTCAAATTACTGTTTTACTTGGGAAAAACAAAATTCTCTTAAACACGAGGAACAGCTGAATCCACACATTGTAAACAGTGACGTGTAACTTTGCTTTTAAGTCCAGACGAGGTTCTGGTTGACCATCAAGATTCCTGCCGAAGGAGGGAGGTGGCATGACCCAGCCCTGGGTCTCTGAACTCTGCCCCAGTGTTGGGGGACGCTGAATGAACAATGCACAAGCTGAGATAACAGCAGCTCCAAAATGAGTTAACTAGTAATTAGAGAAAGAGAAAAGGATGTGCTCTGCTGACCCTGCCGTTTGGCATCCCATTTTTCCATCAGGTGGATGGATATGCTCACGTCGTTGTGTACAACCTGATGTTTAGTTTGCAGGAATCTTAAAATCTGCTTTCCAGCCGGTCACGTTTGCTGGGGGAGGGGGAATAACACCAGGGAGCGGAGCTGGGGGTTGGTTGCAGCCAAGGACCTGATCCGTGCAGTCCCCCGTTGGAGCTGTAGTGGGCCAATCATTTGCCTGGCAGTCAGAGGGTGGCAGCGGAAAGTTCAGTTCAGGAGCAAAGATTTGCTTCAACAGCTTGTTACATTTTTAGAGACTGGAGATGCCTCAAGTGTGAGTTCAGTTCAGGTCACTCTTTGTACCCTTTAATAGCTGCACACACATACACACACAAAAAAAGATCATCATCGCCTTAAAATACACGGTCTTGTCTTCAAGTGGCTTTAATTCCTTTTGTGCAACCAAACACTATTACTGATTCACCACGTTGGTTACTTCCCAACCTGGAATTCCTCGTGGCAAATATGCAGCAGGACAGGGAGTGTTAGAACAAGGAGTTTTGTTTTGGTACTTGTCCCTTTCCAAGAAAATGAAATGTGTGAACGGTTCTTAATTCTCTTTAATTTACTGGGCAGAGTCTGACATGACGGTTGGGTGGTAGCGCTCACTTGTGAGTTGACAGGATCACACTGCTGATTCTGGTTTTACAACTGCAAAAAACCTGATTTTCAGACTATAGTGAGCCGAGAAGCAAGATTTGGTTAACCAAACCACACAAGTAGTGGAGAATCTGGATCTGTGAGTTTTAAATGCCCCTGTTGAAAGGAACGTGGTTGATTTTGGTCTCTCAGGAAAAGGTTAAAATCATCTGTCTGCATTCAGCTGTGGGGACCAGTGGCAGAGGTATTCCAGTGAGCTGTGAAACAGGTCTTACGCTTTACAAATGCGACTTTATGACCCTTGGGGTATGCGGAGCAGCTACGTTCATCAGAGCAGGGGGCTGTGGTACGACTGTGTGTGCTGGAGTGTGCAGGAGGTGATCTTGGAAGCGTGGCAGCACTGTACAAGGCATCCGTGAGGCGGCCTGGTAAAGCTGTGTTGGGCTGAGAGCGTCTAGCAGAACTTGAATTCTCAAGGAAATGCTTCAGACTTGGATTATTTTTCCCCCTGTGTGAAGCTGTGCAGGGAAGGAGTCTCAGGGATATGTGGTTTTTAAATATCTCTGTGTGTTACAGGAGGTGAGGCAGATTGCGTGTTGAAAAACAAAACCAGGTCCTGAATTTCTTTGCTGCATTGCAGACCTGAGACTTGAATCTGAGTTTCCCGTGGTGCTCTGAGCCCTCCTGTTTTAACTCCTTTCAGAGGAAGGCGTTTACACTGAATGTAACACGTGACGTTGTAACCTGTGTTACTTCACAGGCCATCAAGAAAACGAAGAGACCTCGGCTCTGTGGCAAATGCCACTGTGGTGATACCCACCATCGCATCCTCTCCAAACTATTCTGCAGCAGCACCTGAGAACGCAGAGGAGCAGAAACCTTTTGAAAAAGTGAAGTCTAAGGAGTCTTTGGTGATCTCGGGCCTGCGGCATTTCACCGGCTATCGCATTGAGCTCCATGCTTGTAACCATGATGCCCAGGAATCCCGATGCAGTGTCGCAGCTTACGTCAGCGCCAGGACCATGCCGGAAGGTAATTATCGTCCCGAGCTTTGCTGTGGGTTGATGGCTGTTTTCAGAGTAGTGCTTTTCCTACGGGAGCCAGCTGCAGCACAGAAACATCGCTAGGACCGGTGCTCTCTTACGTCCTGGTAAGAAAGAATCATAGAATCATGGAATGGTTTGGGTTGGAAGGGACCTTAAAAGATCATCTAGTTCCAACCCCCCTGCCACGGGCAGGGACACCTTCCATAGACCAGGTTGCTAGAAAAGGATGATAGACGAAGTACTGGCAGTTTTGCATTTTGCAAAAGACACAAAATAAAACTGTAATTAATCATGACCTTGGTTTTAGCTAAGGCTGATGACATCGTTGGTCCAGTTACCCATGAGCTGGTTGAAAAAAATGCCGTGCATTTGAAGTGGCAGGAGCCGAAGGAGCCAAACGGTCTCATTGTGCTGTATGAAGTGAATTACGGGCGTCTCGGGGAGACAGAGGTGAGAATTCCTGCGGGTCCCTTAACACAGCACCTTTGGAGAAGCAGCTCGGCCTGGGGGTCCAGGAGAGTTGAGCCTTTTACAGGCATCGTGCATAGGGTGTTCTGGCCTGTCTGGTTTGCCTGTGGGTGAACCAGTGTGACATAAAACTTAACTGATGAATTGGTATCCTCTGCAAGGCTGGCTGTGGCAACACTGAGAAATAGAAATCTGCCTCTCTGCTGCCTGTTGGCCAAGTAAGCGTGTCCGATTTGCCAGCTTTCTGCATGGAGGTGGGGTTTTTAAAAGTTCATTTCACAGAAGGACAGAAAACATCCATCTAGTTTTAAGTTGCTTTGAGAAATCAAGAGAGCGTTGAGCAGGCAGAGAGGCTGTGGGCAGCCCTGCTGCCCGTGCAGAATGCCAGGGCTGTGTGGGCAGGAGGGCTTGCCAGCCCCGGTCGGGTTTCAGGGCTGAGGTCTAGTACAGCAAATGGCATATGCTCTCTGTAATCTGAACTACCAAACTGTAAAATGCAAATCCAGGACAAACCACTCTCTTGGAAAAGACCTGAGCATGTGAAAGCCCTATTTGTGTACATTTGCCAGGCAAGGAGGTGAGGTAGAACTCCTGGTGTGCTGTTATAGAGCTCTGGGTTGTTGCAGAGGTGGTGTAATTCAGCCTTCCTCTTCCCTCCTCCCTCAGGAAGCTCACTACTGCGTTTCCCGTAAGCATTTTGCCAGCGAGCAGGGCTGTAAACTCCGTGGACTGCAGCCTGGAAACTACAGTGTCCGTATAAGAGCTACGTCACTGGCTGGAAACGGCTCGTGGACAGAACCTACCTATTTTTATGTCGCCGATTATTGTGAGTTCACTGGGTTTTTCCCAACATTTAATTCCTGATAGAAGCCTGGGTTATTTTTGGAAGATGGGGGATAAGCAAGCAATGCACAGGGGACTGTAGGGGATCATAAAATATTTACCAATACATCATCTACTTTGGAGAAACTGAAGTTACTTAGAAATGTGTGACTTCTCTTCACGTGGCTGTTGAACAGCAGTCTGAGTTCTCATTCTGACCAGCCCCGCTGTCTGTAGCTGGAGCAGCCTCCAGTTTCATGTTTGTTCCCATTTATCCAAGGGGAGATTTTACTGAGGAAAAGACTTGGATTTTGGACCTATATAATACCTCCAACTCTCTCTTTCTCTCTTAGTGAATGCTCAGCCTAATATTGCTGTTATAATTGTCCCGATTATTTTTGCCATCATAATTGCTGGCATTATTGGAGCTGCTTACGTGCTTGTGAAAAAGAGGTGAGTGCAATTTTGTGTTGTTTTCACCAGAACAAGCAAAACCTGCATCCAAAGATTTTGTTTGTTTGTTAGAAGTAACTCTGGGTTTATTTTCTAATTTAGATAATGACTGCAACAGTAATTTAGTTTAGGAAATACTTTGTGCTGTTGGAAATTGGGACTGTTTGCATTTGCTGCACACTTTGGGAATCAAACTGCCTTCGGTTCTGACGTGTCGGAGGCAGCAGATGTGCTGACGGGTGCGTGTCTCTCTTCCAGACAAACCGAAGGACCAACTGGGCCGCTCTATGCATCCTCTAACCCTGAGTATCTCAGCGCCAGCGACGGTGAGAGCAATGAGGGCTTCCTTCAGTGCCCTCTTTGGTGTGTGGTCATTCAGACAGTGCAGCAGTATGGGACTGGCATTGTCTTCAGGGAGTTGTTCTAGTCATTTTTTCAATTTATGCCCATTTCTGTGGCTGCTACAGAAATGTCTTCCCAAAGGTACTTGCTCAATTCAGAAACTCTCTCTCTGCTCACAGTCTATGTCCCCGATGAATGGGAGGTCCCACGAGACAAGATCACTCTCCTCCGAGAGCTGGGACAGGGCTCCTTCGGCATGGTGTACGAAGGAATCGCCAAGGACATAGTGAAGGGAGAGCCGGAGACTCGCGTAGCTGTGAAAACGGTTAACGAATCGGCCAGCCTCCGCGAGCGCATCGAGTTCTTAAACGAAGCTTCTGTGATGAAAGGGTTCAGCTGCCATCATGTGGTAAGCATCGCCAGCTGCCTCGGCTGATGAGCAGCTCCCACCGCATAACTAATCGTTGCGTGGTGCTTTCAGAGCTTGACAGGGCGTTCAGCTGCCAGAACAGCCCTCCTGCAGGGCCGGTTGATCGGAAAAAGCTGCGATCTTTCCGTGCCGTGCTTTACAAAATGCATCTTCCAGAACTTCTCGTCGTGACGGGGCTTTGTGGTGCTGTTCTGAGCGCTTGTTGGGGAGCTGCCTGCTTTGCTGTATCCCCCTCTGTTCATTGCTGGGCTCTGCCTGGTGGGCTTGGACACAACCTGAAGGGAATTTCTCTCTTATTTTCCAGGTTCGCCTCCTCGGGGTGGTCTCAAAAGGGCAACCTACTCTGGTGGTCATGGAGCTAATGGCACATGGAGACTTGAAAAGTTACCTTCGCTCTTTGAGACCCGATGCTGAGGTAAAGACAGGAGAGGGGGGAGGGTGTTGTGCAACAGACTAACTTGGTTTGGATTTTAATACTTGTTATTTATTGGTAGAACAACCCTGGTCGTCCGCCCCCGACCCTGAGAGAAATGATCCAGATGGCTGCCGAGATTGCCGATGGCATGGCCTACCTGAACGCCAAGAAGTTTGTTCACAGGGATCTCGCGGCTCGGAACTGTATGGTTGCAGAAGACTTCACTGTAAAGATTGGAGGTATGTAGTGTGTGATCAGAAGATAATTCTCTGGGTTGTATTTCTTGTAAAGGCAAATAAATGAGGCCCAAGACCAGCACAGCAACCACAGGTGATTTCCACTGGCTCCCTTTGGAAACGCAGCAAACTTTCCTTGTTTTCTTCCCTGTGAAAGAACTGTGTGGACTTTAGTAAGAAAATAATGTCCCTTAGAGCCAGAGCAGCTTTTCTCACCTCCTCTGTTCTCAAACCTCTGTCCAACAGGTTTATTGCCTTTCCAGCCTGAGCTACCTAGGGTCTCACTGTTCTTTGATTCCTGAGAATTCTGACTAAGAAGGTGTTGGGTCCAGCAAACCAAGTATTGATAACCCTATCATTAGGTCAGGTGCCTTTTAAAAGTCGTTTATCTTCCATGAGAACCAGTTTTTAACCCGAACCCTTTTAGAAATAGGTAAATATAACGTTTAAAAATAATTTAAACCTCCACAGCCTCGTGTTTTTTCAGACCTCTTTGGACTCAAAGCCAAGGCAGTGGGATTGCAGTGCAAAGAGGGCTCTGTTTGGCTTAAAGAGGTGAAGAAAAATACTGTTTAGAGTAGAAGCTGTCACTAAAAATCTTAACTCTGGAGTCTCTATCTGTAGAAAAAAATGCAGGGAAAGGGAAAACCTTCAGAGTGTTACTCACAAGGTGACAAATGACGACAGGTTGGGCCATAGGAGGCTTACAGGGTGTGTGAAAACAGCCTGGCGTCAGAGGTAGGAAGCGTTCGTCTGGAGATGTTGCACAGTAAAAGTAGCAGGGAAGGAGAGACTTGTAACACATCCCAATTGCTTTTCTCAGACTTTGGCATGACCAGAGATATCTATGAGACGGATTATTACCGCAAAGGAGGCAAAGGACTGCTGCCTGTGCGGTGGATGGCACCCGAGTCACTAAAGGATGGTGTTTTCACTACTTATTCCGATGTGTGGTAAGTTGTACTGCCAGTCCCAGATGGATTCTAGCTCAAGAGCTCACAGTTTTAACACAGATGCTTTAAATTGTGAGTTACAGACTTCCTCAGGGTCCAGGGACACCTTCCACTAGACCAGGTTGCTCCAAGCCTCATCCAGCCTGGCCTTGGACACTGCCAGGGATGGGACATCCACAGCTTCTCTGGGCAACCTGTCCCAGTGCCTTCCCACCCTCTCTGGGAAGAATTCCTTCCTGATGTCCCATCTCCATCTCCCTCTTTCCATTTAAACCTATTACCCCTTGTCCTGTCACTACAGGCCCTTATAAAAAGCCCCACCAGCCTTCCTTGTAGCCCCTTCAGGTACTGGAAGGTGCTATAAGGTCTCCCCGGAGCCTTCTCTTCTCCAGGCTGAACAAGCC